AATGAAAATGATGAAAGGTATTTATGACACTGCAATTTCTATGTTAGAATATTTTAATAAACATTAGATTTTGTAGACTAGTAAAGTATATCACGTAAACATTCGTTTCTGCTTTATACAAATAGATCTTGAACAGTGAAAATAACGTTGAGAAGATACAAATTCGAGTGTAAGATAACTTGTTGCCGTTACTTAATGAAATGCAAAACCAATAACAACATTTATAAACCGTTTGTTTATTTGTTTACGATATAAAATTAAAATATCTTATTAACACTTCAAATAAACATCTGTCTTCTAACTTTGACATCGGAAAATAACGCTATGCAGTTACAAATTAGAGTGTAAAATAACTTGTTTCCGTTACTTCATGCAATGGAAATGATTCATCGTGTGCATCAATTATACACATTATAACAAATACAATTAAATAAAAATTATCAATTCTCCATCAAAAATGAATAACTCATATAATACCGAAGAGATGCATTTATATATGTTTGTGAAATAATATATGAACACAAATCTAGTTGTAAGAAAATAACTTGGTCACGTTATTTTGGAGATAAATGAAAACGATGAACGGTATTTTGGACAAAATCCTATGTTCAAATTGTTTAATAAACATTGGAGTTTTGAAGACTAGTAAAACATAATATAATGACGTAAACAAGTATCTTATAAGGACTTAAAATGAACATTCGTCTTTTTTTCAATTAGAATTTTGACGACGGAAAATAACGCCGAGAAGTAATAAATTCGAGACAGTGTAATATAACTTGTTTTCGTTACTTAATGCAATGAGAATGATTCCTCGTGTGTATAAAACATACTTATTATAAAATACAATCAAATTAAAATATCATTAAGCCCCAATCGAACATGAATGATACCAAACCGTAGGGATGCCTTTATATATGTTTGTGAGATAATATACAAAGACAAATAAGTTGTAAGAAAATAACTCGGTCACGTTATTTTTGGCAAAAAATGACAACGATGACCCGTATTTTGGACACTGAGAGAATCCATTGTTTAAATATTTTAAAGAAAATTGGATTATTGAAGACTAGTAAAACATATTACGTCAATATCTTATTAGTGCTTAAAAGTGAACATGTGTCTTTTTTTATTTTGCATTACATCTTTAACAGCAAAAAATAACGCTGAGAAGTTACAAATTCGAGTATAAGATAACTTGTTGCCGTTACCTAATAAAATGCAAAACATTAACAATTTATTGTTTATTTGTATACGATATAACATTTAAATATCTGATTTACACTTTACATAACTATTTTGTCTTTCTACAATTAGATATTTTTCTACGGAGAATAACGCCGAGAAGTTACAAATTCGAGTGTAATATAACTTGTTTTCGTTACTAAGTGCAATTGAAATGATTCCTCGTGTGTATAAATTACACTTATTATAAGAAATGCGATCAAATAAAACTATTATCAAGTCACAATCAAATATGAATGATATCAAACTGAAGGGAAGACTCAATATATTTTTGAGTAATATATGAAGACAAATGTAGTTGTAAGAAAACAACTTGATCACGTTTTTTAGGCGAAAAATTGAAACGATGAACGGTATTTTGGACACTGACAAAATTCTGTGTTTAAATATTTTAATAAACATTGGATTTTGAAGACTAGAAAAACATATCACGTTTATATCTTATTAGTTCTTTAAATAACACGTGTCTTCCTTTTTTTGCAATTAGATGTTTGGCAGAAGAAAATAACGCTGAAAAGTTACAAATTTGAGTTTAAGATACATTGTTGCCGTTACTTAATACAATGGGAATGACTCGTCCTATGTATAAGAAACACTCATTATAACAAAATGCAATCAAATAAAATATTATCAATTCTCCATCAAAAATGCATGATACTAAATGGAAGGGATGCCTTTGAATATTTTTGTGAGAAAATAAATGAAGACAATTCTAGTTGTAGGAAAATAACTTGGTCACGTTATTTTTGGTGAAAAAAATGAAACGATGAACGACACTGTGACAATTTCTGTCATAAAAGTTATCATGAAAATGCTGAACTTTTTTTTCTAAAACTCGATTAATTGTCTTTTGCAGCATATAATAACATGTTGCCGTTGTCATTGAACGACCGTGGTCGATTATTTGCTGGACTTTGCTGTACCTTTGCGTTTCTTGCCGGTGTGCTGCGTCTTTTATGTTAACCACGCCGCCCAAGTGTGATACTTTTAAAATGCAAATTATTAATAATCATTTATAAAATGTTTTTGATAAAAAAGTATTTAATTTAATTAGCACTTTAGATGTTAATAGCATATGTCTTCTTATTTTTTACAAAATAGATCTTTGCCAGAGGAAAATAACGCTGAGAAGTTACAAATTCTAGTGTTACATAGATAACTTGTTTCGGTTACTTAATGAAATAGAAATGATTTTTCCTAATTATAACAAATTTGGTCACGTCATGTTTCATGAAAAATAGAATCTTTGAAAAGAAAAACAATGGACAATATTTTGGACACTGTGATAATTTTCTAATTTCAAATATTTTAATAATTTTTAGATATTTGTCGACTGGTATAACATATAAGGTTAGAATAACCATATACACTTCTTTCCATGAAGTACTTTTTCTGAAAAGAACAACCGCTTTTAACATGTTTAAAGATGCTGCACTCACTAATGGACTACTGACGGTCAAAAATATAGTTAAAACGATTTTTATTTTTAATTTCAGGGCCATAGAAATATGATCAAAGACAATTTTTCGAAACAAAAGTAACTAAGAAAATGTTTGTTTTTGCTATTTTTTATTGTAGAAAAAAAAACCCAGTGACTTACGCTATGAATTTATTGGTATATAAACATTTTAAACTCGCAGTGTAGCACAATTTTTGTAAGCACAAAGATCCTAGTTTGAATTCTTTAAATAATTTATTTTTCCTTACACTGTTGGCTCCTACACAAAGAAAATGATTTTGACACTCATACATTTAATATACATTGATTTTAACAAAAGTTGAAATGTACTTATATATTGGAATGCAGTCAGTAAGATAACCTGTTTCCGTTAGTATTTTAACGGCATGGCTCATTGGCTTCACTCAGCCAGCCCGCATAGCTCAATCGGTTAGAACGCGAGACTTGTATTCTCAAAATTGTGGGTTCGATTCCCGGGATGGCCAACTAAATTTACTAATAAGTCTATTGGATGAGACTTTAAATCGAGGTCCCGTGTATGAGTGCTTAAACACTTAAGCACGTTTAAGAACCAGGAGAAGCTTCTGGAACTGGGGCATCTTTCTGTATCTTGCACTATCCTCCAAACTCAAAATGACCAATGCTCTTCTGGAGGACTCAACCATATGTGCAACCGGTGGCGAGTATTTATAAACGCAAATACACACACAAAAAGATTGGCTTCACTTGTACCTTGCCGGTCTTGTCAGTTTTTACGCCTTTTATGACAAACACGCATCAGTGTAAAACTAATTAGTTAACACTTTTGTCTTCTCGATTTCTTGAATAGACCGAATGAATGTCTTTGAAGTATATTTGTGGAAAATAACTTTGTGATCGGTCTTATATTTAGTGAATATGGAACAATGAACCGTTACAATATTTTGCACACTGTATTATTACGGACATTCAAACAGTTTTCAAACAATTTTATAAACATTAAATATTTGTCGAATGGTATAATACATTGTGTAAAATGTTTGAGTACTCGTTCTGTAAATATTTGTTGTTCTCAATAGAACAATTGCTTTTGCAGAGTATGATAACTTATACGCATAAAAACATAGTGGGCCAATATTACGTGCTGCCGTTGGCTGTCATTTGCTGATTTAGTACATGTTGTAAAAAAAACTTCATCATTACTTACACACTGGACGAAGACGTGTCGCGACTGTGTTAATCTATCAATTTGGACGTTGTTTTATTAAAGTTTTTTTTTGCGTAAATTATGCCGTGGTGATTCAATGTCATAGTTTTGTAGCTCTAATGGTTTTACTAAATATAGTTAATGGCATATACATTCGCAACTACATTAAAATATAGTAAATATTTATGTTATAATAAATAATTCTTGCAGCGGGAGACTTTTTTCCACGGACGCTGCTTTTTACCTATATTGGTGCAACGGATAAAACTACTTAGTTGCTGCCGTCTAGAAATAAAAGATAAAAATACCTGTACAAAAAATAAGTTTTTAATACGGTTTTTAGACACATTAATTTGTTTTAAAATAAACGTTTAAAAAGCCATGTCTACAAACTTACACGAAAACAATGTATTTAACATTATTTAAGCTGTATATGAAATATTGGTATTGATTTCAGTATCGTTTAACTCACTATAAACCCACAATTTATAATTACATTGCAGACAAGAATTTTATTATGTTAAGTAGTATAAATGGTAGACAATCGGGAATAAAGCCTGATAGAGTAGCAAGAGTTATTTTTCTTGCTTCCCCTACTTTCCGGAAATAACGCAAAAGAGTTAGAAATGATTTTGTATAACCTTTTTTCAAATGCCCTGCGCACAACTTTATCAGCTTTGCTCACCAAGTCAAAGACAGACATGTGAAAGCATATTGTTTATACTTTCATAAAAAAATTATCAGAACAATAGGAAAATTTTGAGATTCGCGCAACAGCGATCTTAAAATTAGAAAAATTGGTCATTTTTGAGCTAAAAATAGCACATATTTCAAATTAATTAGACCGTGACCTGACTATGAGATGCATTAACCTGTTGATTTATCGGTACTGTACAAAATACGTGTACTTACAGTCACTTTTCGATGTAAACGGAGAACATATACGAGAAAAATAAACATTTACAAAGTTGATCCTGTTAGTAAACGGATAAAATTTTATAACGGCTATGGGTTATAAAAATGATAACGTGTTTAAGTTACACCCCTGACTGTTTTATGTTGTTATGTATGGATGAGACTCAAATTAAGAATATATATATATAATAGTCTACATATATTATCTGTCTTAGACCTTATTAAGGAATTGACAGAATCTGAAGATAGGGTATGGTTATAAACGAAATATTTCGTGTGACTGAGTACTCCGTCGTAAAAATGAAAAAAACGTATTTGAGTACTGAAATCAGTACTTGTTGTCATCCATAGTTAGAAGTAAAATCAACTGTTAAGTGATAACAATTTGAGTGACAGAGTCTAATTGGAGCACAAGTTGTCAGTGTGAACATAGTAATATTTTGCCAGTCAGTTTATCTGTGCAGTCTGACCAATTATAATAGGCTCGACATATATGAAGGTCTGTTCTGGTAATAAATAATTTAATTTTGTGGTGAAATTGCAACTTAAATTAACTCCATACATATGAGAACGAATATCATTGTTACATTATAATTGTTTTTAAAATAAACTTATGTTGAAAAGTTATGTTGAAAAATTTACCTACATATATATTTGTATTTATAGGTGAACAAAGATGTTGTGGACTAATAATATCTGTCATATGTTGCGGTTCGGACCGGAATGTCCGTCCCGAGGGGACCCGCCCATTGGGCGGTAACGAGGCTTGCCGAGTTACCGCCCATGGGCGGGTTCCCGAGGGACGGATATTTCGATCCGAACCGCAAACATATGTTAGATATTTTTTCTTGCATATTCTGCCATATTATTTCATATCTAAAATGGTTTACCTCAATATGATATATGTGCATGGAAATTAAAGTCATTTCATCAATAACTATTTTCTTACAATAGCGTATGAACTTACAACTTTAATAACAACGGCGAAATGACGTCATCCTAAGCACATATTTCCCTTCTAAAACGACGTCATTTACCGCGGTTCATTCATAAAGTGCGCTAAAATGACGTTGTTGTTTGGCACGCGACTCATCTGGCACCCCCCATGCAAGATGAAATTTCCGGCATGGGTAAAACTCACGGAAACGCCAGTCTGCTATGCAAGAAATGTATATTCCAAGGTTGTTAGAGGCTCTTCTAATTCGTTTTAGTGATGACAGCTGGACAGTTAGAGATGGTAAAATGTGTAAATCATACCTGAGTCCTTGCAAAGAATTTTCCTGTGGGTATTTGCATGAACTTGACACTTATTTTAGGGTAATAATTGCATATAATTTCCTAGACCAATAAGTCTTGCAGGACATTTTTTTCTCACAGAATTATACCTCTCCTAAAACTCTATAGAAAATTCATGGTTCAGGCTTTTCATTAAAGGCCTGTCTCCACAACTTTCTTTATGATTGTTAGTTAATGGACACGACCCATAACTCTAGTATTGATATTTACGATATGATTTCCCTGTTTGACTGTCCTTCTGTTTATGTTTATAGCAGCAGTTTATTACATTAAGCTCATATAATGTGCAAAGAATTGTTTACTTTTATCTTTAAAATAATATTTTCAAATCCAACTACATGTACATTATTTTCGTACTTTTAATAATGTTTTCTGGAGAACAAATGAGCCAAGTCACGACAAAAACAACATATTGCGTTTGCGACCAGCATGGATCCAGACCAGCATGCGCATCCCCACAGGCTGATCGGGATCCATGCTGTTCGCTTACAAACCCTATAACAAGTAGAGAAACTGATATCGAACAGCATGGATCCTGATCAGACTGCGTAAGCTGGTCTGGATCCAAGCTGGTCGCAAACCCATTATGTTGGTTTTGTCATGACACGGCTCAAATTATTTTATTCTGGTTTTAACTTGTTCATTTATTTTAGTAATGAAGCTACACAAATCTTATATTCTTTTTATCACATATCCAAAATAAGAAATGTTAACAGTGAAAAGAAAACACTTTCATTGATGCACTTTAAAGTGTAACACTGACATTTCCTGCATCATTTTTTGCTATGATTGCATAATGCAAATGATAACACATTAAACTATATACACGACCTGTGCATTACCATTTTTACAGAATCGCAAAATCAGCACAGCTTTGTGATAAATATAATAATGCACTATTTATTGTTCAAATGCTTTGTAATTAATCACTAAGGTTTTTCGGCCTTTGTGATTGTATTCTTGCGTATTTGAACTCTACGGTGCATTTTTATGCACCAAGACAATCATAATTGATATTTTCTAAATGTAAAATCCAACATATATCAACTGTATTTTTCAGGTCATCTATACCAGCATTGTATCCACTGTTTTTCAACAATCTACAAGATAATATACATTCAGTGCGGCAGAGGCGGCCCTTGCTCTCCCCAGTGTATATGGTATATACAGTTTTTATTCATTCCAAACATAATACTAGTAGCTTAATTATTATAACATAAGATCATTGATGAAGTATTTTATGCTTAGAACTTTTAAATGCTATCAGCAAAATATTGTAACCAATTTATCCGCTACAACTACATGAAATGGCTGAAATTAAGAAGAGGCCTATGTTGTCAAACAGTTGTGGTCACTAACTTTGAATCATTTGCATCTTATTGCAATGGTTTAAATCCCAACAAGACCTTATAGCCCTTTCATGTTGGAAAGCTATTTAGCTACTGTAGCTTAAGTTGGGTCAGAGGTTGCACACAAGTGCCCAGCTTGATCTGAAAGAATGCCCAGACGTTTTATTTATAACTTAAGCAATATCATGGTCATCCATGACCAAGACTTTTATTCATAAAAAACAATAAAATTATTGTAGAAGAACTGTTTAATTATATAGTTTTGGTGTTGTCCGTCCGTCCATCTCTCCGGCCGTTCGAATTCGTTTCCAGAGTAGTTCTCTGCAACTACTGGCTTGAATTCAACGAAACTTTATGGGAATCATCAATATCAAGAGGAGATGCGCATATCGTTGGCTTGTTCTGGTCCGACACTTTAACTCAGAGTTATGGCCCTTGATTAGTTATGCAGTATGCATATAGAGTAAAAATCGTTTCCGCGCTACTTCTCTGCAACTACTGGCTGGAATTCAACAAAACTATATGGGAACCTTTAATACTAAGAGGAGATGCGCATATCCTCGCCTTGTTAAGGTCAGACACTTTAACTCAGAGTTATGGCCCTTGATTAGTTATGCAGTATGCATATAGAGCAAAAATCATTTCCGCGCTACTTCTCTGCAACTACTGGCTGGAATTCAACAAAACTTTATGGGAACCTTTAATACCAAGAGGAGATGCGCATATCATTACCTTGTTTGGGTCAGACACTTTAACTCAGAATTATGGCTCTTGATTAGTTATCCAGTATGCATATAGAGCAAAAATCGTTTCCGCGCTACTTCTCTGCAACTACTGATTGGAATTCAACAAAACTTTATGGGAACCTTCAATACCAAGAGAAGATGCGCATATCATTGCCTTGTTTGGGTCAGACATTTTAACTCAGAATTATGGCCCTTGATTAGTTATGCAGTATGCATATAGAAAAATATTTGTTTCTGCGCTACTTCTGTGCAACTACTGGCTGGAATTCAGTGAAACTTTATTGGAACCTTCAATACCAAGAGGAGATGCGCATATCGGGTCAGACATTTTAACTTTGAGTTATGACCCTTGATAACTTATGCAGTATACAACCAGAGCAATAATCGTTTCCGTGCTACTTCTCTGTAATACCCCGGTCACATATTCACGGAATACGCCCACGGAAGAGCCACGGATTAATTCCGGCATCGTCCGTAGCTACCCGTACTGGTCAGTAGCTCTCCGTATTGTAACCGTAATCAATCGTAGTAGTCCTTGTATATCCGTAGCGATCCTTGACAATTTTTGAACATGCACAAAAATTTGCTACGGAAAAATCAACCGTAGCGTATCCCTACTAGTCCGTATTAATCCGTACTGATACGTACTGGTCCGTACGAAAACCGTAATAGTCCGTACTGATTCGTAGTCCACCAACTTGTCAAGGATTTCCACGGTTTGGTACGGAGAACTACGTATTTGTACGGTTACCCTACGTATAAGTGACGGTTTTAATACGGATTAATACGGCATTGTCACGGAAAGCCACGATCGTAATACGTTGTACTACGGGGAGGCAAGGATTAGCACGGTCTTATACGGTTTATTGCGTTGCAACACGAAACGGTACGGAATGGTACGGCCCACCACTGTTTAGTACGGATGAATTAAGTATCATGTACTTTTTCAAGGGTATAAATACTACCTTCTTGTTAAAAACAGACATATATATTTGCAGGAACATTTAATAAATGATAATTGCCATTTACTGGCTGCAACTTTATATTGAAATGGCTCAGAATGCGGAGGCAGTGGTCGAGCTGCTTGATGACATGCATAGAAGTCAATTTATATTAAAATCGTACTACAATTCATAAGAAATAAAATAACATTTAATGTTACATATTTTACAAACATTGGATCGTGAAAATGGAGTAAATATGTACATAAAACGAAGTGTCTCATAAGCCTCGGACACTGGCCCTTGAGTGATAATAAGATTAATTAACAAGCTTTTTACATATTTTTAAAACATAAACATCACGATAATAAAGGTAATTGTAAGATGAACAGCAAATCTTAAAATTAAAAGAGAAGCAGTACTGATCAACATTTTTCATTAATGATTACTAGTCCATATCTAATCAGGTAAGCGAAGACAGACGAGATGGTGGACTAGAGATGGGCTTTTACGAAGACCGCTTCATGTTTAGTATGAGGCTCTCATGGCCGAACTTGTTGAGGATCCGGCGTCCTTCAAGAAAATCACTTTAATTGGACCTGATGTGTCTCGGGGTTTGGACGCTATTTAGCTGAATCCTCTCCGCCAAAATCATTGAACGCTGCAATTCGTTTTCTAGGTGTTCTTTTCTTTTGAGGCATTTTGTGCCATGATAAATATATAAATAAAGCCTTATGTCTTCAGTTGTTGTGTTAGTAATAACCAGTACTCAGCGGGGGATATTAATTCAACGAATTTGCTTGTTGAAATTGAAATTTATTATTACAATTTAAATTATACCTGCTTTATGAGAACATACCATTTAATCACATTTTTTGTGGAGCAGAAATAGAAAAAATTGTCACATTAGAATCTAACAGACTATGTTTATTACTGTGGTATAGCCGACTATTTTATTAGGTCAAGTTTTGGGGGATTTCAGTGAAACTTCACAGGATTGTTTGTTACCAAGCCTAGTTGTGCATTCTCTCTTTAATTTTCTGCTTTATTTTTTTTGCACACTTATGGTCCCTAATGGTCAATTTGCAAGTAATATAAGCTTGTCCGCGCTTTTTTCACCAAAACTGCTGGGTGGATTTCAGTGAAACTTTGCAGGATTGTTTGTCACCATGCCTAGTTGTGCATAGTTTGATTTTCCACTTAAATTTTTATGCCCCCGCCTGTTCCGTCCTTCCGTCCTTCTGTCATTCCGTCATCATCAGTTTCTGTTCATTATCTTAAGAACGGTTGCACACATTCAACTCAAATTTGACATATGGATATGTCATGACAAAATACAGGTCAAGTTCGAATTTGGTCATGGTTCGATAATTTTTGACAGAATTATGCCCCTTTAACTTTGAAAATAATATGAAATTTCAGTTTCCGTTCATTATCTCCCCAACGGTACAACACATTCAACTCAAACTTGACATATGGATATGTCATGAAAAAATACATGTCAAGTTCGAATTTGGTCAGGGTTCGATGATTTTTGGCAGAGTTATGCCCCTTTTACTTTGAAAATAATATGAAATTTTCAGTTTCCGTTCATTATCTCCCCAACGGTACAACACATTCAACTCAAATTTGACATATGGATGCGTCAAAAGAATGCGCAGGTCAAGTTCAAATTTGGTCATGGTTTAATGATTATTAACAGAGTAAGGCCCCTTTCACTTTGAAAGTAATATGAAATTTTCAGTTTCCGTTTATTATCTCCCCAACAGTACAACACATTCAACTCAAATTTGACATATGGATAAGTTTTTGGAATGCCCAGGCCAAGTTCGAATTTGGTCATGGTTCAATGATTTTTGGTAGAGTTATGCCCCTTTCAATTTGAAAATGATATGAAATTTTCAGTTTCTGTTCATTATCTACCCAACAGTGTTACATATTCAACTTAAATTTGACATATGGATACACTTAACAAATCTTATAAGTGTGCATGCATAAATGGTCTGATATGTGTGTCATTTTTGGTATGATCATCCTGAAATTTTCAATTTATACAGTTGAGAGATATGATATGATATTACATTTATTAAATTTCATCAGAAACACATATTTAATGAACATGCCCAATAAATGTGATAATGCGTTATAAGCCAATGTCGCAAAAAATGACCATTAAAAATTATTCAAATGTCGTATGGCCATCTGGACTGTTAATTTCAACATTCATTAATTTCAAGCAGCGTTGTCGCATGGATTTGACCCAATCTTTTTTTGGTAATATATAGTTAGATTTATTCACTTTTGGACACTTTTCGCATATTCGTAGGCGATAGTTTGTGGCACAGTACCAAAACTTCTTAAGATGCCGTTCATTTAACCCCATAAAGCTTCTTTGACATTTCCGTGTAGCTTCTATCACATTTAAGTCCAGAGATATTGGTGATATTTCATAAAGTTAATGTTGTTAATAAATGTTCAGAAAGATAGTTGGCGCCCAGGACGTGTGTTTGTTAGATATCCTGAAGAAACTGCATCATATGTTGTTCTTTAGATATTACTAAAGCTCATCATATTCGTTATGATCAGCGCTGAGATCACTATTTATAAACGATTAATGAACCCATTGTTAGTGCAAACAGTCTTGCTGAATTTCCCTGTGGATTGCAACAGACCTTGCCTAGTAACGAGCCAAGATTTCTTAAGACTTACATCTACCACAAAATTAAATGTACAACGATAAATGAAACAGCGATGTTGTTATATAAGTCAACGTCGGTATATGTTGATTAAGAAAAAAAGATCACAGATATCATAATTTTGCGACATTTAGTTTTTACGCGCAATCACTTTTATTTGACATGCTTGTTAAATTTGTGTTTGTTATGACATTAAATAAATAGAATATCATACCATGTCTCTCATCTGTATTTATTGAAAATTTCAGCATGATAGTGTCAACATTGACTCGCATTATTAGATATTTATACATGCACACTTATAAGATTTGTTAAGTGTATGTCAAAGGAATGGGCAGGTCAAGTTGGAATTTGGTCATGGATTGATGATTTTTTTGCAGAGTTATGTCCCTTTCACTTTGAAAATAATATAGATACATCTTAGGAATAAGCAGTTTAAGTTTGAATTTGGTTGTGGTTCAATGATTTTAGACAAACTTATATTTCCTGAATGTTGGAAAAAATTTGAACTTTCAGTTTCAGCACTCATACTTTTAGCTATTATTTTGGCTACAAATATGCAATATGCTATTTCTAAAAGGTTAAGACTGAATAATTACTGTGTCTTGAACATTGTATGAAAATGGTTTGTGTTAACATTGAAAAGTTTTAAGGGCTTTGAACTTAAAATGAAAAAAAATAATTAATGCACCATCTGAAATTTTGGCTGCATGCGGGGGCATCCGTGGCATGATGACACATTTCTAGTTTAACACAATTGTCAAAACTTCCTTTTGTAGGCATAAGTCACTTTTCATTGACAGCTCTTGTTTCCTACATTTCTTTGACCATGCTTTAAATTGCTTTTAATCTTTTAGATCAACTAAGCGTTCCAAGATCTGATATGAAGAAATTTGCAGAGGAGGTGTTTTATGTTGTGCGTCATTAGGAGAAAGAAATAGTCTCTATAGTTTCCAGTGCCGTAGATGAATTCTAGGAACAAATACAGTATGGGGAGCCATTTACCGATCTCAACCATTCAGAAGCATTTTATACACATGAAGAGATTGGCTCAGATTTGATCAGTAACAGTAGACGTGTGTTCAAGAAACTAATATTTGACTTATATGGAAAATTATAAAGAGGAAGGATATGATTCTCCCGTTGCTTGGCACAAACCAAAACTAACAAGTTTTATAAAGTTAAATGAGTGATCTGAGTGTATAAGAGCTTGCACATGAATTTTATATTCTTGGGTTTGAATTGAGAACAGAGAAGTAGAGCTAAAATGGCATGATCTAGAGAATTTGTTTCCTAACCTTTTTGCATTTGAAATATAAGGAATTTTATATATTTCTTTTCTACTCTGTTAAAATAATGCACTCATCCTCTAGTTATATATGATATTGCTCATGTATCACTGTTAGATTGTTTTGAAAAGTTAGATATATTTAATGTATGAATGATGTAAAAAATACTTCCTGAAAATCTAACAGTACCTGTTACATGAAGGTCAAAGCCTGAAATCCAATCTGTAAAGAATGCAAGTTATATAAACTTTGAGAAATTGTGATACCATTTCATTTTCATACCATAATTGTTTTTAACTTTTAAAAGTCTTTGATTTCATTTAAAATGAAAGAGCTCATTTTCAACATTGAGTAAAGTTTGTATTTTTATAAACTAGTTGCAGGGATATTTTGTTCATAGATATGCATCACATTTTTAGCTCACCTGTCACAAAGTGACATGGTGAGTTTTTGTTATCGCTTTTTGTCTGGCGTCCGTCCATAAACTTTTACTGTAAACGACATCTCCTCATAAACTGCTAAGCTAATTTCATCCAAACTTCACAGGAATGTTTCTTTGGAATTGAACTTTGAAAATTTTTTAAAGAATTTAATTCCATGTAGCAAAAAAGTTAAAAAACCTTCTTTTAAAAAAACCTTAAGAGCTAGAGCTAAATTATTAGGCATGAAACATTGTCTGGTAAGTGTCTACCAAGTTTTTTTTTTCTAAATAAAAGCCCTTGGGTCAAAATTGGCCTTGCCCTAGGGGTCATTGATTTTCCTTATTTTTATATAATAAAAACTTATAAAACTTCAAAAATCTTCTTTTAAAAAACCCTTAGAGCTAGAGCTAAAAAATTTAGCATGAAACATCTTCTTATAGGTGTCTACCATGTTTCTTCAAATAAGGGCCCTGGGTTTAAAATTGGCCCCGCCGGGGGTCATTGATTTTCCTTTTATTTGTATAGTAAAAACTTTAAAAATCTTCTTTTAAAAAACCCAAGGAGCTAAAGTTAAGATAGTAAGCATGAAATATCTTCTAAGGAATGCTACTAAGTTTGTTCAAATAAAAACCCTGGGGTCAAAATTGGCCCTGCTAGGGGGTCATTGTTTTTTCCTATATGTGTATAGTAAAAACTTAAAAACATTTCTTTTAAAAACCCCAAAGAGCTACAGCTTAGATATTTATCACGACACATCGTCTAATGGGTGTCTACCAAGTTTGATCAAATAAAAGCCCCATGTCTAGGAACGACTTCAAACAAATTGGCCCTGCCCCGGGGGCTATATACAGGTGAGCGATTTCAGGGCCATCATGGCCCTCTTGTTTTCTGATTTTACTGTATTACTTGTTTTTGGAAGCAGTTGTTTTGTTTGTTTAGTCATAAACTCTGGTTTGTTAGTGAAATGCTCTTTTTGTAGTTATGCCAGCATGTATATATATATAACGTTTTTTTATTATACCCCCAAAAACGAAGTTTGGGGGGGGGGGTATATAGGAGTCACCCGGTGGTCGGTTGGTCGGGCGGTCGGTCCAGACGTCCGTTGCATTTTCCTTGTCCGGAGCATAACTTGAAAACTAATGGTTGGAATTCAATATAACTACATACAATGGTCTAGCACATTGAGAGGAAGTGCAGTGCTTAAGAACCATAACTCTATCTTGACTAATTACAGAGTTATTGCCCTTTGTTACTTTTCCTTGTCCGGGGCATAACTTGAAAACTACTGGTTGGAATTCAAAACAACTTCATACAATTGTCAAACACAATAAGGGGAAGTGCAGTGCACAAGAACCATAACTCTATCTAAAGTAATTACAGAGTTATTGCCCTTTGTTGCTTTTCCATTGCTTTTTTTTTGTCTGTTGCATTTTCCTTGTCCGGAGCATAACTTGAAGACTAATGGTTGGAATTTAATATAACTACATACAATGGTCAAGCACATTGAGAGGAAGTGCAGTGCGTAAGAAACATAACTCTATCTTGACTAATTACAGAGTTATTGCCCTTTGTTACTTTTCCTTGTCCGGGGCATAACTTGAAAACTACTGGTTGGAATTCAAAACGACTTCAAACAATTGTCAAACACAATAAGGGGAAGTGCAGTGCACAAGAACCATAAATCTATCTAAATTAATTACAGAGTTATTGCCCTTTGTTGCTTTTCCATTGCTTTTTTTTGTCCGGACCATAACTTGAAGACTAATGGTTGGAATTCAATATAACTACATACAATGGTCAAGCACTTTGAGAGGAAGTGCAGTGCATAAGAACCATAACTATCTAAAGTAGTTACAGAGTTATTGCCCTTAGTTACTTTTCCATTGGTTTCTTTTGTCCGGACTATTACTTGAAGACTAATTGTTGGAATTCATTATAACTTCATACAATGGTCCAGCACATTGAGAGAAAGTGCAGTGCACAAGACCCATAACTCCATCTTGACTTATTACAGAGTTACTGCCCTTTGTTACTTTTCCTTGTCCAGAGCATGAATTGAAAACTACTGGATGGAATTCAAAACAACTTCATACAATGGTCAAGCACAATAAGGGGAAGTGCAGTGCACAAGAACCATAACTCCATCTTGACTAATTACAGAGTTATTGCCCTTTGTTACTTTTCCTTGTCCAGAGCATAACTTGAAAACTACTGTTTGGAATTCAGTACAACTTCATACAGTTGTCAAGGACATTAAAAGGAAGTGCAGTGCACAAGAGCCATAACTCCAGTTTGACAAAATACAGAGTTACTGCCCTTTGATACTTTTCCTTGTCCGGAACTCAAAACGTACTGGTTGGAATTCAAAACAACTATATACAATGGTCAAGCACAATAAGAGGAAGTGCAGTGCACAAGAACTATAACTCTATCTTCAGTATTTTTAGAGTTATTGCCTTTGTTCTTTGTTCTTTTTCTTTGTCTTTCTGGACTTATTACAGAGTAATTCAATTAAACTTCATCAATGGCCAACCACATTGAAAGGAAATGCAACATACACGAACCACAATCATCTTTAATTGCCCACAACCATAACTCTATATTTCAATTCTTTTACAAGGTATTCTGTTACTACTAACATCCTCATTTCCGAAGCAGACTTGTGGGGGTATTAATCACATTTAGTGATAGTTCTAGTTTATTTTGTATGTGTAGTCAAAGTATTGAATCAAAGCACAGAAGGCGCTGAATTTGTTTGGGTCTCAGATTGTAAGAAAGGTGCAGGTTGTGAGATTATATGTATAGTGCCACAAATGCTTTCCAGCGTTTTAATTGTAGTAAATTGGCTATAAGACTAATTGCAACACTGATATTCAATCCAATGTTTATTTGACTTAAACAATTTGAAAAAAAAAAAGAGTTACCTTTACTGGGATTTGAACTCCAGACCTCTCGCTTCCTAAGCGAGCGCGAAAACCCTTCAGCCACAGTGAATTTATATGTGAACGGGCTGAAGAAAACCATATTATTCTAAATTAGGGCTTGTAACGACTTTAACTGTTGTTTAACACAGATGTAAATAATCCTGGAGCTTACTATAAGCATTTATATTTATAAAGAATCAAAGGGCTGCAAGTTCTGTGGTATTTTCTGATCTTTGCAATCTAAATCGTACTGTATATCTGTATGCATTTTCCTGTATAGGTTTATTTTTATGTATTATAATTCATTTTGCAAGGCACCAGAGTTTGATACATACGGAATTCTGCATAACTAGAGTTGCATCAAAAAATCATTTATGTTCATTTTTTACGACAGCCACATCCTTGCATATCATGGCTACTTCCTTAAAAAAAACACTTAAAAAGGAATTTAACAAAAAAAAAAGTTTCCTCGATTGGGATTCGAACTCGAGACCTCTCACTCACTAAGCGAGCGCGTTACCACTTTACCACGGAGAAGTTATACACAGAAAGTCTGAATAATATCAAGTCATTCTAAATTTAGAACTTGCATTGCATTTCGGGTTTGTAATCCTTATTAATTTCGAGGTATTTTGTTCAGGGTAAACCTGTTGTTTGAAATTGAAGTAAATATTTTAGCGAAATCCTCTCGCCCAAACAGTCCGACATGTAGAATCTATATATTCCACTACTCGGTTTGTGTAGTATTCGGTAATAAATAGTATTTTCATTGATAAAATCATATTCATCCGCGTAATTTGTGGTTGTGCATTTATTGACAATTCTATAAGCCAACGCTATTGTTTAACTTTAAATGCGTTGTAATTTGTTGGATACTTGTAACAAAATAGAATATTTCTTTCTTTTAAATCTCTAGTATTAAGCTGTTTTGAGAACTACTTGTTGTTAGGTTTGTCGTAAACTTCTGTGTCAGAGATTGAATGTCCGCTTTGTATTTAGTTATTTTCGATCAGAAAATACAATAAAACAATATTAGAAATCTTCGACCATTCGGGAATTACTTTGCTTGACCATTTTTACGCAGTGATCTCCCCTGAATTTTTTGGCTTTAGTGTACATACAAAAGGGAAGTAACCGCTTCAAAAAAGTGGACTACTTTCGGCATTTGCAATTAACAACATTAGACTCTGAAATTTCGCTACCATTATTTGTTTGGTCTGACGACCCAAACAAATAAAAACAAGATGTTAAGTGACTATGAGAACCTCCCAAGTGACCTTTTGACCTTTTGTCAATATACCTATACATCATCAACTCTTATTAATGTTAGACTTCACAATGAGTTCTGCATGTCTTGAGTGACCTCTTCGTCTTATATTTTTATACGCATAAAGCAAATGAAAATAGCGCATGATGTCTTTTATTTAAAAAATGAAATTTTTTTAATTCCTCCAATATTTGAAAAAAAAAGAATAATAATATCTGTCATATTTTGCGGTTCGGATCGGAATATCCGTCCCGAGGTGACCCGCCCATTGGCGGGTGACCGAGGGACGGATATTCCGATCCGAACCGCAAACATATGTCAGATATTTTTTCTTGCATATTCAAT